GAATAGCAATCTCTCACGTGCGTGCGTGCGCGCGCGCGCGCGCACACACACACACACATCTGCCTGATCTAAACTACATTTGAGACACCCCTTGCAAAGCCACCCCTAAAGGGTTAACCGAGAGACTCCTGATGCAGCAGGAGGCAAGCTTCACCTCTTCACCCGCTTTCCTGCTACTTCCCATTTCCGTTATGTGTTTCCCAGCAGCAGAGCAGCAGGTCATTGGCCTGAAGTGAACGTGGAGGGCAAGGATTTTTCTACTCCCTTGGAAAAGGATTTTGGACAAGCAGAGTTCTGTTTTATAACTGTGGGAGACCCCCCCCCCCACCAATTCTGTGGTTGTGATGCTGGCTGAGCTTCTTGCCTATCCCTCAGCAGTCTCACTACTCTCTGCTCCTCTTCAGGCAGCAGCTGCTTGAAGCACGGCAGCTTTCTGGGGAGCATCTTACCTGGCTCGTGTTTTCACCTGGCATACCTTGGTGTGCTGCTGCGCCTGTTGTCTGAAGGTGACATCTCCAATATTGTCTAATGCAGCCACCCTGAAGCTGGTGCCTCTCCCTACTGCTACTCCAAAAGGAGTTAAAGATGTATCTCTTCCTTCCCAGAGTATATCCCAGATTAGTTTTAGTCTTGTTTTGAGTCAATATTCCGATTATTGCTAGTTTTAATCTCTTGTAAACCACTCAAAGCCTTTGAGAATGGGGCGGTATATAAAAATTGAGATGAATATTCTGGCATCCAGCCCCAGCCAGCACAGCCAATGAGCAGAGATGGGGGGAACTGTAAATGAAAACTTCTGGGGGATGTCAGATTAGGAGAAGATGCTGCAGCACAATGTACTGGCAAACCACCCAAAACAGCTAGCCTGGAACTGGGAAAATGACAGGGATGGCACAGATCACTGGGAAGGAGCTGTCCCCGGGCTGATTTCTCACAAGGAGACGTGGGCCAGTGAGGTCAGGGAAGCTGGAACATCTAGAACTGGTGCACTGTGCCTCTGGGTGGGGGGAAGTGGAACTGGGGGTCCCCTGCTCCATACCACCAATGCCTCTGTTGCCTCTTCCTCCTCCTCCCCATTGCTGGGCAGCAAAAGCAGTGGAGTGAAGGCAGCAGCTGCTCCGGCACCTGCCAATGCTTTGCATCGGGATGCTTGGTGCCTGCGTGAAGCATCGGCCCCTGGCCGGTGCTTGCCTGTGCTCAGTCCCGCTGCGGAGAATGAGGGGAGCTTTGGGCAACCACTAGAAATTCCGGAGGGGTTTTGTGTGACCCCACCTGGCTTGGTGCTGGAGAGGGTGTTTATATTTTATTTGAGAATTTAAATCCCTCCCTTCTAATGCATAAGGGCTGCTCCAGCCACTGGAACTGAAAATGCATCTTTGCGTGAGCATGACCCAATGCTGAGCGGTACGTGCCTTTGGAACTTGCTATTCTGCTCTGAAGCAGCGCATCACTGTTTGCTTGTGTGTGTGTGTGTGTGTAATGGAGGTGGATTCTTTGATAAGTGGCTAGCGGTGCATAGGCAAAATGTGCAGCCTATGAGATTTGCTAATCGCACCCGGCATGGCTGCCTCCAACCAGCGCCACTGGGGAGAGGAGGGAGAGAGAGGCCTTTCAAACGGAGAGTGTCTCCCAGCATCCATTAAGCCCAGAAACATAATCCTTGCAAGGATCCTATGCTGAGCAGCATTCCGGGCTGCCGTCTGCCCTGCTTTGGAGATAGCTCTGCAATCAATAGTGCTCGCATTGATTTTTCCAGTGCGCAGCCTTCCAGTAAAACACTCGTCTGCATGGATGGCCCAGGAACCATTTCCTGCTTGAAGGGCTGTTGGAGGAAGTCTTGCGAAAATGGGGAAAGGACAACAACATACCCAGGAGGGAGCTGCCAGGGGAAGCCTTCGTGCTGCCAGTCAAATGCTGCCATGATGGCGATTCGGTAGCGAGCGTCTCTTGCAACACTGGCGGCAATCTTGAATGGCAGCCACTGCAGGTTCCGCCCAGGAGTGCCTGGTTAAATCCTCAGGGGGCAGAAACCCAGCCGGAGATCTCAGTGTCAGTAGTGAACATCTCCCCTCCAGGGGGGTGGGACTACAACTCCCATCTTTCCTGGCCACTGGCCTGGGGGTGATGCGATTTGCAAGCCTAACCCTCTGGAGGGCACCGGGCGGGGCAAGGCCCGGTGCCTGGTGCCGGTGGAGTCAATAAACCGAGAGGGTGGCTCAGTGCGTGGCTGCTAGAACAGGGCAAGAAGAAATTTCCTGCCTCTTCGCTGGGCATTGAGAGCACAGAGCCCTGAGGGGGTTCCTGCCTCAGTTTGTCACATCTTCTTTTTGCTGGGACATTAGCCTGTTCAAAGTTTGAGGACCTGGTAAGATTAATTCTCCCCTGCAGAGGAGGGCAGGACACACTCCAACGGGGCAAAGCTCAGGGAACCAAGGTTTAATTTGGATGCCAGGAATTACTTCCTGACAGTCAGGACCCCGAGGGTGTGGAATGGGCTTCCATGGGAGGTGGTTGAGGCCCCATCGGTGCGGGTGTTCAAGGATAGGCTGGATGTGCACATGGTAGGTGTGTCATGAGCAGAGCCGGCTGGAGCGGGTCAGACTAGATGGCCCGGGATGCCCCTTCTGACTCACTCTGTTTCTATGTTTCGAATTAGGCTGGTTTAGGCATATGCTCCCTCACGGGCAAGGGTGATCTCTGGGCACCTTTGCACAGGCCGGCTGCCTAGGTTAAATGCTGGAGGCTACAGGGAGAATGCAGGAATTCAAGGGGAAGGGACACCCACCCAGAGGTGACAAGAGGGCTACTGCTATCCATCTACCCTGGTCTAGACTATCTTAATGTGCCACATGCACAAAACAAGAAGTGGGAGTAGGAGAAGACACATCCACAGACTGCATGTCAAGTCACAAAATATACTAATGCACACCTATGTAACATACTGAAAAGAAATTTTGCATCTGTAAAATGGGTACATTTTCCAGCCTGTCTCACATGTGATTTTCAAAATATCTCCATTGCTTTCTACTACCCTAACAGAAGTAAAAGGTTAAATCATAAGGGCAGAACCCAATAGGACATTTACACTCCTACTGATTCCCTTCTGCAAGCGGAGATTCCCACCGATTCAGTGGTGCAGACGAGACCAACCCCTTATGCAAGGCAGGTTCAGCACTTCCGCAGGGAAGTTCACTTGTTCAAGCTCCCCTGGCTCGAAACAAGCATTTCCACGCTCTTGCGGCTGTCCTAGGGCCTTCGCATTGCCATTGCACAAGCAGTTGGGGGCCGCTTGGGGGCCGGGCCCATCCTGAACCCCAGCACCGGTGTGCTCCCCAGGATGTTTTGTGCACCCGAAGGGCAGATGGATGGCACAGCTGGCTGCGAGAACGCCTGGCGCACGGATCCTGTCCTGCTCTGCCTTGCCCAGGACCCATTGCTGGGCCAGGGCATTTGCTGTTTGCCCGAAGGCTCCAGGCAAATTCTGTTGTTCCCTAATAGTATATAACAATATTAATGTTATTTTTTCATGCATATGAGTAAGAAAATAGGAAAGATAGCTTAAAGATTTAGACTTTGTAGCACAAAGCACTGATAAAGCGCTCCTTTTGTCCACTGCCTGATTTTGTGCTCAATAAATAGCCAAATTAACGAAAATAACAAGTGTCCAGGTCCAGGCTAAGTCATGCTTTAAACCCATAGATATCAATGATGTTGTAATTAGCGCAGTTACTTTTGCTTTTTTTGTGTGTGTGATACTAGTGAGTGACTAATATAAGATAAGGCTAATATAAGACCTGATGATTTCTGTGGGGCCAAAGTGTGCCTGTTTAGCTTAGTCTGGAGGCAGACCCAGAAGAGCAGCAAACCTGCTCATTAGCACACAACCCACTAAGAACCAATCTGGCTGCAAGCACCAAGATAAAGGTATGTCAAGCATTATGTGGTTGCACAAAATTTGACACCCTGTGCAAATATGTAGGATTGTGGTGGGCATGATGTCCCGGGAGGCATAACTATGCCTCGCAACAGTGACAGAGCATTTCCTCTAGAGCAGAAACGCCTGGCCTCAAATCCGTGTGTTGCAAACCAGCCATTGGGTTGTCTGCAGGATTAGTCCTACTCAGAGCAGACGTGTTGAAATGAATGGCAGGTACATTAATTTCAAAGGGTCAGATCTAAGTGGGAGTAACTCTGGAGGAAATCCATTCTCTCCACAGGGATCCTGAGGATAAGACGGAACAATCACGTATCCTGCTGTGTGTTGCCTGGAGAAATGTTTAGATGCCAATCAGAGCAATAAAATGAAACAGCATATGGGTTGTGTGTGAGACGTCATTAAGCCATGGGTTGCCATGTTGTCTGAAACCACCTGCACAAACAAGCCATGGCTTATGGAATGCAGGAAACCCATGAAGAGAACCCATGGTTGTTGCTGGGCTGCAAACTGGGTGGCTTGTCTTGGTTGGCTATCATGGCTGGGCTCCAGCATGCCATATTTCAACAGCGACCTATGGCTTAATGGAAACCCCTTGAGCATGAGTGATTCTGTTGTCCGAACCCAGTCCCTGGAATCTAAAGCATGTCGCATGAGGCTACGGGCAACACATTCTCCCCCTTTGGATGCACAGTCTCATGTAAATAGAGTCTCTTGCTGTGAGCCATCCCGGGACTCAGTGTGATTCGATGGCCTAGAAATACCCCAGATAAATAAATACTTAGGGAAACTCTCAGCAGTACATCCACTGCTCCGGTTTGCACCTGATGCTCACCCATGTTACAGGCTGTCGCGTTCTGCATGTTGTGCTGTACAAATGCAGCCGCCCAGGCAAACCATGGCTTGTTAGCTACGGAAAGAGAGCCCTGGGCTTGTTGTGGGGTGGCGCACTCAGACATGGCCGCCAAGCCAGGAGCTGTTTGGGGGGACTTGAGAGATGCTGCACACAGAGGGTTTGTGAGCAAAGCGGGCATTAGCAGGACCAGAAACAGTACCTGGACAGTACCTTTCATGGCAGGAGGAGTGTAGACACTCTGCTTCCGCTGTTTGGGGGAGGCATTCTGTGACTGAGAATGAAAAGGACAGTGTTTTAGCAAAAAGTAAGGGCAAAGCGATGAAGTCAGGCAACAAATGAAAGACGTATCTTTCTGCACGCGCTTTTCTCAGTGTGTGCGTCACCCAAACACCGCCTTTCACAGCACAGTTATAAATGCTGCATTTGACTACTCTTGAGTCTTCATTTTGCATTAAGATTTACATTAGGACTGAACTTAAGTGGGGATCTTTGTCAGAAAATGTCCAGCCACGCCTGTGATGGCTATTTATGCATTTATTGACTGCCAGGTCGTTTATCCGTTTATTGACTGCATTGGCTCTTGAAATGGGATGAAAATGTTCACCCATTTAACAGTGCCAGGTCTAACAATGCTTCAGGCTCAGCTGGCTTCATGATGTAATCCATAATCCACAGTCAGATCCAGCTGACTACAGGCACTGTGATGTCATCGTGTTTACTCAGGGGGTCTCAGTTGGCTGGGACCACGACTAATGTGAAAAAGAGAACCGGTTGAAAGAAAATAATACTGAAAGAGCAACATATCAGGGGATTAGCAGGTAATGAACAAAGTGAGAAAAGTGGTTTGAAGGAAATCTTTTCTCAATCCCAAAGCAATACTTTTGCATGAAAAACAGATGGATCCTGGTAGAGATCTAGTATCTTCTTCTTCCTGTGAAGATTAATATCTTTGAAGATTAGAAATGTGTTTGTGGGGGGAAGTGTGGGGGAAAACATTCCTACTTTTGCAAAAAAACAGTTATAAAGATTTAGGTATGAGGTTCTTTGAATGAGGAAATAACTTTTACTGCAACTATGGATTGCCAGATACATTGTTTGGCCCTAAAATAGTAAGCTTAAACACTGTGAAATTGGAGCTGTTCCTTCTATTTCTGAGGGGAATATTGCTTAAATGGGAAAAATGACTGGATTTATATGAAAAAGAAATATAGAATCTATACTATAGGGATTTGAGGGTAAGGGGGTTCCTTTTAACTGCTAATGGGTTTCTGATTGTACAGGATTACTGCCGAAACACCCCATTTTAGAAATATCTTACCAAGGGCCCAATCCTATGCACATTTTCCTGGGAGTTAGCCCCATTGTATTCCTCTGGACTGACATCTTAACAGATTTGTATAGGCTTGCATTGTTAGCTTTCATATTGCTAACCGCCATTATTTGAAAAGCCCGTCTACACAAAACAACACAATATTCAGCAATGTTACTCTTGTCACATCCATAAAGGTTTGTAAGTTCACAGTAAGCACATACAATTTTAAAATCTTCACTTAAAAACCTCTATTCCATGTCCTTGGAGTTTGGCATCTGTTACATATTCAAGAAGTGTATTTTTAACATGCCTACTCTGGTCAATGAAGACTCAGTAGATATATTAGTTGACCTATGATATTACTGAAAGTGGTTCATAATATTTTATGATAATGGATGGAAAGTTGCTATTTATGAATAAATGATTGGGTACATTCAGAGAGTGCTAATTATACTTATTGCATGATGGGATGTTGGTCCTCATCACAGAATGCTTTTAAATGTTTGGAGTTAAATCTAAAGAAAATCAATAGTGTACATTACTATTTAAAGCAATGCTGCTCTGTCTGAGCTGCCAGTGAAAACTGAGGAGATCTGGAACATGGAGAAAGGGCACACAAAAGTGTGAGAACTCCATCTCAGGTGGGACGACATATTATTCCCTCTATTTCTGTCATTCAGAGCTGAGTGTGGATCATTAAATAGTAAAAGTGGCATCACCACCCATGCAGAAGAGGAAGATACCAGCAGGCCTAGGGAAAACCCAGAAGTATGACTATTAGGAAGGAAACCTTGAAGCGGGGGGGGGGGGGTAGCCCAATGAGGACTCAGGATGCAAAGCAGCCATGAAATACTTCCTGTCAGGGGTGGGGAGATGGAGTGGAGCATCCTGGGAAAGGGCATGACTGGCTGGCTAGAATAAGAATTCCTTATTACAACATTTTGCTGCAAAGCCCCATTTGTTTGGGATCTGAAATATTCCTCAGTTCCCATATTTCATTTGGAATAAGCCCTACTAAACACCTTAGGACTTGTTTCTGATAGTAAATTAAATCGCAATCATAACCATATGGGCATTAGTGAGTGTTTCCCAAATGTTAATAGCTGAGAGATAAATTATTATTTTTTCTGAACTGGAATTGGAGGCATGCTGAGTTCTTATTCTGACATTTCTGTCCCACCTTTTTTGCCCCTTGCAGGGAACCCAAGGTGGTTTACAAGGCCTTCTTCCTCTCCATTTTCTCCTCACAAGAACCACCTGTGGGGCTGGTTAGTCTGAGAGCCTGTGGCTGGCCCAAAGTCACCTAGCAAGCTTCCAAGATGTGTGGGGACGAGAACTCAGCTCTCCTGAGTCCCAGCCCAGCACTTGAACCACCGCACCACAAGGGCCATAGTTCATTCTTAAATCCAAAAAGGTGGGCAGAAGGAGGAATTATCTGCTGCCAGGAGATCCCCTGCGTATCTGTGGAAGTCTTACTTCTGAGTATACAGAGAAGCACCGGGCAGCCTCATTTGAGGGCCGGTATTTTTCTGATTGATGCATTTGACCAAGCACAGGTGATGCAAGAACAGAGTGGATTTTTGTGTCCCCAGCAATGATTGAGGGAAAGGCCCCTCCCTGGCCCAGAGAGTGAGCCATGCAGGGGCTCAATGGGCAAGATCTCCTCTGTGTGGATCTTTGGGGGAATCACAGGGCCAACATGACTGAGCTGATGCATATATTGCATCACATTAGCAGTTCTCCGGCTGCCTACTGGTGCATCCCAAGGCAGGAAAAACTGCTGCATTCTAGTGTAATACAGTAAGAGAAGAGTTACAGTATTTCTGAGACAATACTACAGCAATATATTAAAGTGTAATTAACTTACTTCATCTTGGGAGGTGTTGTTCGTTCTCTTCTCCTCTATTTCTATGGGACAGAAAAACACATTTAGAGGATGCGCCACATAAATTAAACCAGCGGTGCAGTTCTGTGCATGCCTGTTACGGAGCGAGGCCCGCTGCGTTCAAGGGGCCATTCGTAGGCTGGGAGCTAGAGCACACAAGAGGAGTGGCAGAGGCGGCGGTCTCTCCGTTTTGCCACTCTGCATTTTTGCTGGCTTCTTTCCTCCATCCAGCTGGGAGCCGGTTGGGTATGGCATGAGCTGTCAGCCTCAGCTTTCTCCCCTCCCAGTCCTCCACCTTGCCCCTTTCGCCCTCACTGAGGCCGACTTTCGAGCTTGCAGAGACAGATGGGGAAGTTCCTTTCGTGCCTCCCTCATGGGGTGCTGTAGGGCGGCGGGGGGGGGGGGGCATTCACAGTCCCTGCTCCAAAATCTCAGGCCTGGAGCTCCAAGCAATTCTGTGCTCCTCGGACAATTTTAGGAAGTCACAGGATTGTTCCTATACTGATTTTATTGCATTTTAAAACCATCCAAGAACTAACTCTTGTTCTCGCCCGCCCCTTGAGATCTGCGGGAGAGGCCCTTCTCCGGGAACCCTCCGTGAAAGAAATTAGGAGGGTAGGTACTCGGAGGAGGGCTTTCTCTGTGGTGGCGCTTAATCTATGGAATGCGCTCCCCAGAGAGGTCCGCCTGGCGCAGTCATTTGTTTTTCGGCGCCAGGCGAAGACCTTTTTATTTAAGCGTCATTTTAATTGTTAATATTATTGATTATTTTATCTGGCCAGGGCGACTTATTTTATATTGTTATTTCTTGTATTTTAACCTAATGTTGTGAGCCGCCCCGAGGCTTCGGCGAATGGGGCGGCATAGAAATGTTTAAATAAATAAATAAATAAACCCAAGGACTCTCTGGGCAACTCCAATAAAATGCTTGGTAATAGTGAGAAAATAATGACAGAGCAGATCACTGCAAAATACAAAGTGGCAATAAAATCATTATGCAGCCAGTCAGAGAAAAGTGAGAGCCAAACCAGCAGCAGCGGATCAACAAGCAAAGGTCTTGGGCACTCACTGAAAGCAGCACTCTGAATGCCTGGCAGACGGGAAGGTTCCACCTGGTGCCTGAATAACCACAATGTAGGTGCAGGTGAGCGCGCTTCCCAGAGAGGCAGCAGCACCTGAAGAAGGGCCTCGGGTGATGGGGAGTACCCCTTTGGGCAACCTGAGGATCTGAGAGCTGCCGTGGGGGGCCAGCACAAAACGGGTGTCATGGGCGATGGACATGGCGGTGCCCATGGGGGCAGCTCCAATCAAAGGAGGAGCGTGTCCTGGTGGGTGGGGAGAAAGGGAGGGGCCAGAGGTTGGGAGGGGAGGAAGGGGGTGCTGGGGAGAGGATGAGCGAAGGTCGAGGCTGGGGGAGGGAAAACAGAAGAAGGGGGAGGAACTGCAAGACCAAGAGAGAGCAGGAGCAAGACTAGTGCTAGGACGCAGCAGACTAGGAATAGGGAAAGGACAGCAATGGTGGGGAAAGTGGCTGGGGAAGGGAAATAATGCGGCTACTGGCTGAAAGGAGGGAGGGACTCAAGGGGGAAAGTCTGAGTGGACTGAGGGTGATTGGGGAGCCAGGAACCAATTCTTTCCTCCCTGTCCTATTTGCTGTACAGCTGATCAGCAGTAAATGGCAAAGGGAAGGCAGCGCTTGAATGCTTTCCCAGGATGGCACTCCGAGGACACAGAGCTGGCCACAAAGAAGGCTCTCTGGGCCCCCTTTACTGGCACGGAATGGGCTTGATAGTGAGTTCTTGACCATGTGCAGACAGATTCAGCATGTGTTTTCGTCCACCTCACTCTAGCCATCTACTGCTTGCTTCATTGCCCACAATTCAGCAGTATACCGAGGAGCTGAGGCCCCGGCACAGGGGGAGGGGGCATCCAGGGGCGATTGTGTCCATTGCGCCGGTCACTTGCGTATTCCACAGAATTACCTGGGCTTGGCAGGAGAGACAACCATGCAAACTGGGAAGTCCTCCAGAGCCCTCTGGAAGCCGTCCAGATCCATTAGACTCTAAGGAGGGACCAATTTGTGGAAGGAAAGCGAGGTTGACAGTCTAAATCTCATCAGGAAGTGATCTGACCATAAGAACAGAGATACAGTGACACCCTCCACCATCAGATCACCATCCTCCTGTCCAGCTGAAAGAACATGTCAGGAGTGTGATCTGATGTCATGGGTTGGGCCAGTGGTGTGCTGAGACAGGCCATATGACAGCCCAGTTGTCATAGCCATGAAGCCCTGTAGTGCCCTGGCCAATGCAGCCTTGGTGTGAATGATGAGACCCCAAGGACCACTGGTCTTTGTGTCCTCCATGCCGGGTCCAAGACTCCTGTCAGCTCAGCAAGATGTGCAGCAAGGAGGGTGGTACCCCATCAAGATCTCTAGTCTGTCTCAATTGCCCTACACAAGGCGTAGATACTCAAGACCTGTATTTGAGTGGACAGGAAGCCAGGAGAGAGGTAATGAACCCCTATAGACTGTAACTACTCCCCCTCCCTGGTTCCAAAGGTGAGGTTGGTACTGAACTGAATAACTGGGAGGACATAACTGAGAGGAAGTAACATCTTCCATCTCCCCCACCCAGGTCTCAGTAATACAGGCCAGGTCAACCCCCTCATCCATTATCTTATAGATTAAAGGGATTCTATTCTGGACTGACCTGGCATTTAAAAACAACACCACTGAGCCCAGAGGCGGGTTGGTCCAGTTACCTGGACTCATCTGGGTGAAGGACGAATCAGAAGAGGGCATAGATGTAAGATATCTGACCCTTCTTCCTCTATACTGGTTGGTTAGTCCCCCCAGTGTCACACTTCCCCCTGCCCATGACCACACCAATTGGGGCACCCCGAAACTCCCGAGACTCTGACAGAATCGTGTTAAAAGTAAATAAAAGCACTAAAAACAAAAACAGAAGAAAGACTATGGAGGTAGGCCAAAAAAACAAAAACCCTTCTCAATTTGCCAATGCCCAATTATCTTCCTAAAACATGTCATCAGCCAGTATTAACCATTTACAACCAACCAGTTATCTTCCTTCCTTCCCATCTTATTATTCTTCCTTCTGAACAATACACATCCTATTCCTGCCTCCTCAGTGCTAGCAACTTGCCAAATTCTGCTGCTTCCCATTGCTTTATACAACTTACTGAGGCCTTCTTTCACAGTCCTTTCAGGGAAAGAGAAAAGAGAACACAGGCGCCATGTGGGCACTGCCCTTTTGCAGCCACCTAAAACAGGGCCCCAGTGGAAGGCTTCGCATGGGTCTCCTGTCTCTTTGCCAGCCCCTGGCCCGGTTCCTTCCACCCACCGGCTGGGGTCCAGGCAAGAAAAGCAGCTGAGCAGGGTGGAAGCAGCAGTGGCGCAGCAGGGCAAGACAGGGATGCAGGCAGGGATGAGACAATGGTGAGGAACAGGAAGAGAAACAGAGGCAGAGTGACATGGCCAGGTATCCTGCAGGTATCTTGAGGCAGGATGACATGGCAGGAGACACAGCAAGATGCAGGATACAACAAAAACCAAATACAGTAAGGGTCAAGCAAGGTGAGGGAGCTGAACCAGAACTAGCAGGAAGCCTTACATTGCTAAGGCAATAAGGGAAGGCAGGATACATGGCACAGCAAGGCAGGACATGGCAGGAAAGGAGACAAACAATGAAGCAGGATACAGGGCAGGGAAGAGGCAGCCCAAACAGTAAAAGGAGGGCCCTGTGCTGCTAAGGCAACACGGCAATCAGGAGACATGACAAGGGTAGGGCAGGATGCAGGCGCTACAACAAACAGGGAGACCAGTGTTGCTGAGGCAACATGGCAAAGCAGCATACATGACAAGGGTCAGGCAAGGTACAGGAACTGAAGCACAGGTAGCAGGAAAACCTGCATTGCTGAGGCAATACAACAAGGGAGGATGCACAGCACAGCAAGGCAGGACATAGTTGGAAAGGATACATACAGCAAGACAAGTTACAGTTCAGACAAGAGGCAAGCACAACAACAAACAGAAGGGACCAATGTTACTGAGGCCAGTACTGAAGGAAGAGCTTGCTCTTATATAGCTCTACCCCCCAGGACTCCCAGCTAGTGTTTGTCAAGAGGCTGAGGGTGCCAGCAGGACCTGGGACTGATCCTGCAAATACTGAGATGGACTTCTGGTTGTGGCCACCAGCTGAAGCCCCAGAGCAGCCCAGATCCTGACATGGGTGCCAATGCAAGTTCAGGGAGCATCTACATGAATTCCAAGATGATTTCAATATGGATGCTACCAACTAGCTGTTGTTTAAATAAACTACTGCGTTCACCCCCCTCCCTTCTCCCCACAAATGCCACTTAACACTGACTTCAGCATGGAAATGGAACAAGCCCGGGGGTTCCAACCAAATCAGAGGCTGGAATTACATGAAGGAACTGCTGCTCAGTGTCTGGGCACTGCAAGCAGAAGATTCCAGGCTCAGTCCTTCCCTCTCCAATGAAAAGGGCTTTGGTGGCTGGCGATGGGGAGACCCTGTGCCTGAGCTGCCCATGGAGAGGTGCTTCCATCCAAAGCAGGCATCCTGGGCTGGAAGAACAAAAAGGCTGATGTGGCAAGAGGCAGCTTCTTGGGGTGTTTCTCAGGCCCCTCTGCTTGCTGGTTAGGGCTGCTGTAATGATGCCCGCCTGCCCTAGTTGAAAGACTCTGAACAATACAAATCTAGTGAGGAGCTAGATTGCATGAGAGACAGCCCACAGCTTCACTTTTTGGAATCTCAATCTGGGACTGCATCATGGATAAGCGGGGGTGGGGCCAGGGCCTTTTTAGTGGGCAAGCCCTTTGTTGCAACAGTAAGACGAGCTGGAGCTGTCTTCTTGGACTTTGGGTGGTATGGAACACCTTTATGTAAGGCTGTGAAGCAGCTGTGAATCCACAGTTTCTGCTTCTGGTTTGTTTACAAAATTGAAATCTAAGCACAACACAAAGAGCATTTCCTTTCCTGCT